CAAAAAAAAAAAAAAAAAAGGAAAAAAAAAAAAAAAAAAAGAAACTGATACAGAATCATACAAATCTTATTGGGAAAATCCAATGTCCTGATTTTAGGTTTCAAGCTTACATATACAATTCTACAGTCAGTATTACATCCCAATTCCCAAGCAGAGCAAAAGGGCAAATATCGTAACGCCAGGGAAATGTGAAAAGAAACTCGGAATCCGAATCAAAGAAGAAGAGATTAAGAATTCTGGAAGAAAAAAAGTACCAGGAGAGGGAGAATTGTCGCGATTCTTCTTGGCAACTGCTGTGACCAGAAAAGAGCGAGAAGCAGAAGGCCTGAAAAGTGGGATCTCAAGCAGGCGCAGAAGATGAGCGCCAAAGAGATGTGAAGAGGAAAATCTCCTCGTAGTCTTCGGCAGGCTGGGAGAAATGGGTTGTTTGAGTGAGAAGGTGGCGGTGTTCTTGAGATTTACGGTGCAGAGATCCATATCCGAAACGATTTTGCTGGGGGAATTAGACACGAGTGTGGGAAAGAATGATGATCCAATCCAGAGCAGAGGAAAATAACAGGTGGGGGAAAGAGGAAAAGAAATAGAATATTATGGCGAGACGATATAATGTTGAAGATTAAAGGCAAACAATGAGCAGCCAAAAGTTGAGGTCAAAATGATGGCAGGGCGCCGAGAGAATATGCCACAGTTTAACGGAATCATGTCGCCGAATAATTTCTCATGTGGCCTTTTGTTGGGTGCCATAATAAACGAAGCTTCAGTTAGTGTTATTGATTCAACCCAATCTATTTAAAGACCTTACATATATTAAATTATAATTTGGAAATAAAAAATTTAATTACAAGTAAGCTTGAAAATTCGTACTACAATGATGATTAAGGGTAAAAATATTTCTTCAACCAAATTCCCGTGACGATTACAAGAGCCAGAAAATTTTCCCACCAAAAAACCAAACGACTACAGAACAAAAATAATGGGAGCTTTTTAATTTCAAGTTAACCACCGTGCCGGTGCGGTTGCGTCTGTCACCGCCTGTCTCCAACCCTACCAGAAGCCGAAGCCACAGCCACACTACTTTTTCTCACCGAATCTGTCTCCGCTATTCCCTTGGATCGAACATGCAACGCAATGGTCTCAATGGCTTTTGATTCCCATCTTCTCCAGCAGCCGTCTGGAACCCGACGTGGTCCCATGTAATTCCAGCCCCTCTACATTGTGCTTGCTGAAGCCCATTTATTGAACCCTACCAGCCAAACCCTGTTTCGCCATTCCTTTCAAGTTAGAATCAGTTTCTCTGCAGGCTGGCGTGTGTGATACTTCATTTGGGTGCCTTCTGTTTCTTGTCATCGTAATTGTTTGTTTCGTTATGTGGCTGTGTGCTTCTAGGATCTTGAAGGATTTTAGCTGGGTGTTGGATTCAAGTCATAGTTGACCATTTTCTTGACGGAAGCAAATTCACTAAATCCTCTGAGCTAACCTGTCCTGTAATTGCTTCGGAACCTCTTTCTTAGTGATAGGTTCCGAGGCAAGAATTATTCGATCAGGCGCCAAAATGGATGTAAATAGTTCGAAAGATATGGTTCGCGGTGACATGTTGTCTTTGGCAGCTATAGGTTCTTCTGAAGTTTCAGAAGCGTCCCCTGATTCGCTAAAAAACACGCCCTCTAACATTGCAAAATTGGAGGATGTCATCGAGCACTGCGAAGGTAGGCAGAAGTATCTTGCACAGACAAGGAGTCCTTCCGACGGCGGCGATGTTCGCTGGTATTTCTGTAAAGTACCTTTGCTTGGGAGCGCTTTTCATTTTTTTCATCTTTAATGGAATGTTTTCTAATGCAACCTGAGTTTATTGGTATTTCATGATTTTATTGGTTGATTGAATACCTCCGTTTGACCATTTGACAAACACGTCGAATGTAATACCAAAGTTTTAAATGACAATTTTGTAGGAAGTGGTTAGAGCATCGACCTAACAACGCACAAGTCTCAGGTTCGAGTAGAAGAAAAAATGCAAAGCGCAAAAATACACACATCGTGAGATCCATCCCGAGCAGGCTCGCTCACTCCTCTACGTCGACGCCATGATGACGGGCGTCGAGTTGTCGTTCCACAGAGGTAATCGACGACGGCATAACTGCTCCGGTGAGCCTCGAACCCAAGGAAGAGCTCCAATTGTGGATAACAAAGGCACCGGCTGGGGAGCCAGGTCGATTGAAGGAGGAGCGAGTGTTCGCTCAAATCGGTGAAAGAGGGGGCAACAAACCATATGACCGGGGCCAAGTCTGCGTTCTCCGAGCTTGATTCCGGGATTCGCGGGACGGTGAAATTCGGCAATGGCTCCGTCGTCGAGATCGAAGGACACAGCACCATCCTGTTCGTCGGCAAGCACCACAAGCTGACCGACGTCTCGACGACGGCATAACTGCTCCGGTGAGCCTCGAACCCGAGGAAGAGCTCCAATTGTGGATAACAAAGGCACCGGCTGGGGAGCCAGGTCAATTGAAGGAGGAGCGAGTGTTCGCTCAAATCGGTGAAAGAGGGGGCAACAAACCATATGACCGGGGCCAAGTCTGCGTTCTCCGAGCTTGATTCCGGGATTCGCGGGACGGTGAAATTCGGCAATGGCTCCGTCGTCGAGATCGAAGGACACAGCACCATCCTGTTCGTCGGCAAGCACCACAAGCTGACCGACGTCTCGCCGACGGCATAACTGCTCCGGTGAGCCTCTAACCCGAGGAAGAGCTCTCCAAATCCACAGAGGTAATCGACGACGGCATAACTGCTCCGGTGAGCCTCGAACCCGAGGAAGAGCTCCAATTGTGGATAACAAAGGCACCAGCTGGGGAGCCAGGTCAATTGAAGGAGGAGCGAGTGTTCGCTCAAATCGGTGAAAGAGGGGGCAACAAACCATATGACCGGGGCCAAGTCTGCGTTCTCCGAGCTTGATTCCGGGATGAACCCGAGGAAGAGCTCCAATTGTGGATAACAAAGGCACCAGCTGGGGAGCCAGGTCAATTGAAGGAGGAGCGAGTGTTCGCTCAAATCGGTGAAAGAGGGGGCAACAAACCATATGACCGGGGCGAGCTTGATTCCGGGATGAACCCGAGGAAGAGCTCCAATTGTGGATAACAAAGGCACCAGCTGGGGAGCCAGGTCAATTGAAGGAGGAGCGAGTGTTCGCTCAAATCGGTGAAAGAGGGGGCAACAAACCATATGACCGGGGCCAAGTCTGCGTTCTCCGAGCTTGATTCCGGGATGAACCCGAGGAAGAGCTCCAATTGTGGATAACAAAGGCACCAGCTGGGGAGCCAGGTCAATTGAAGGAGGAGCGAGTGTTCGCTCAAATCGGTGAAAGAGGGGGCAACAAACCATATGACCGGGGCCAAGTCTGCGTTCTCCGAGCTTGATTCCGGGATGAACCCGAGGAAGAGCTCCAATTGTGGATAACAAAGGCACCAGCTGGGGAGCCAGGTCAATTGAAGGAGGAGCGAGTGTTCGCTCAAATCGGTGAAAGAGGGGGCAACAAACCATATGACCGGGGCCAAGTCTGCGTTCTCCGAGCTTGATTCCGGGATGAACCCGAGGAAGAGCTCCAATTGTGGATAACAAAGGCACCAGCTGGGGAGCCAGGTCAATTGAAGGAGGAGCGAGTGTTCGCTCAAATCGGTGAAAGAGGGGGCAACAAACCATATGACCGGGGCCAAGTCTGCGTTCTCCGAGCTTGATTCCGGGATGAACCCGAGGAAGAGCTCCAATTGTGGATAACAAAGGCACCAGCTGGGGAGCCAGGTCAATTGAAGGAGGAGCGAGTGTTCGCTCAAATCGGTGAAAGAGGGGGCAACAAACCATATGACCGGGGCGAGCTTGATTCCGGGATGAACCCGAGGAAGAGCTCCAATTGTGGATAACAAAGGCACCAGCTGGGGAGCCAGGTCAATTGAAGGAGGAGCGAGTGTTCGCTCAAATCGGTGAAAGAGGGGGCAACAAACCATATGACCGGGGCCAAGTCTGCGTTCTCCGAGCTTGATTCCGGGATGAACCCGAGGAAGAGCTCCAATTGTGGATAACAAAGGCACCAGCTGGGGAGCCAGGTCAATTGAAGGAGGAGCGAGTGTTCGCTCAAATCGGTGAAAGAGGGGGCAACAAACCATATGACCGGGGCCAAGTCTGCGTTCTCCGAGCTTGATTCCGGGATTCGCGGGACAGTGAAATTCGGCAATGGCTCCGTCGTCGAGATCGAAGGACACAGCACCATCCTGTTCGTCGGCAAGCACCACAAGCTGACCGACGTCTACTTCATCCCGAGGCTCAAGGCTAATATTGTCAGTCTAGGTCAACTCGATAAGGCCGACTGCCACATTTCCATCAAGCGCGGGCTACTTAGGATTCGCGATGATCGACGACGGTTGCTCACGCAAGTTCGGTGCATGGCAAATCACCTTTACATCCTAGAGTTGGAGATAGAGCAACCAGTCAACCTCTCGTCCAGGTACCGGAGGATGGAAGACCTATTAGGAAGAGGTGAACCACCTAGACTGACGGCGCGCCAACTCGAAGAAGAGGTGGCCGAACAAGACGTGGAGTCTGGAGGACATGCCGCCAGGGACACCGAGCAGCCACACATAGGTTTTAGGAGGAGATTGTTAGTTGATTGAATACCTCCGTTTCACCATTTGACAAACACTGAAGTGGCACAAATTTAGTTGGCATTCTCTAGCCATTTTTAGAATACCTTATATTTAAAAAGGTAAATCTAGGGATTTCCTCTCACTGAAAAGAAAAGGATTTCCCGGGCCGCTTATCGAAAAACAACACGACCAGGGCAAAATTGATGAACAAAGTAGAAAACGAAGGTGAAAATAACTGATGCAAACTTTTTGAGAGTTTAACGACGAATCATATTTGAGGATATACTGAGAAGCCTGTTTTAGGAAGACATAATTTAAAAGATTTATCCATCCATTGCCTTCCTTATAAACTTCTGCAACTATAAATACATGTATATTTTGTTTATCTTTTCTATTTTGAAATAATTAAAGTTGTAGTTATTTATATTCATCCTATGAAGGTTTCCTTCTATTCTTGTCACCTCTGTTTTTCCATTGTAATATGTTCTCATTAAACATAGGAGTTCGCTAGGAGATTTTGAATCAAAGGGCTTTCAAACCTTTTGATGACTTTCTGCTGCTCGTGTTTCAACAGAGCTAGCAGCATCAGTTCCTAAGACTGAAATAGTTGGGAAGGGTGAGTATTTTCGATTTGGCATGAGGGATTCTCTTGCAATAGAGGCATCTTTCTTGCAGGTGTATTTTTCGACCTCTTGGGTAGTCAGTTAATGCTTATGTTCACCCATATTTCATGAATTTCCTGTAGTGAACTATCTTGTATTACCTTCTACAATATTTTTAAGTCATGAAATTGTCTTCCCACTCACCTGCATGTGTGCTGAATTCATTATTGGATGCTAATTGTAGTTTTAATTAAGTGAAGGATAGAAAATTCGATGATACCACTTTATAAGGAGTGTAAATTTTAATTAGCTTATCATCTTCTGTGTGTCAATATTTTTTTAATATTGTTACAACAAAGATAAAAGAGTTTTCTCAGAACATTCTCTGGTTCACCATTTTATGGAGGACCTATATGGCTTAGATGGGAATGACAGCGCAGGAGTGGGGTAAAAAAAATTCTAAAAGATGGATAATTTTTTTTGTTTACCTAGGGAAATTGAGTGCTGAATGGTAAGATTCAAAAGACATTTTTTGGTCACCATCTCTCTCCAAATTGGGCATTATTTGTAAAAGCCATGACGAAAAGAAGCAACACCATCTTTTCGTTCATTGTTTGTTTGCAAACTCTTTCTGGAACTAGAATCCTAGTATGTTTAACTTGGTGTTGGGCTGCTATCTTTCAATTAAAGATATGGTGGAACCTATTCTTTATGGACAAAGATTGAAAGGAGAGCTTGGATGTTTTTGGAAACAATTATTTGGCTGGTTTATGGAAATTATGTTAAGAAAGGAGCCGTAGGGTATATTATGATGTGTGTAGGAAGGTTGAGGATTTTTTGATCTTGTCATTACTTTGAGTTGGTGTACTCTATCAAAATCATTTTTTTTTTTTTTTGGATAAGACCTCTCCCGTTAGAATGGAGGGTAATAAAGCTATAGTGATGGAAAATTTGGAAGCATATACACCAAGTCACAATTGAACTGACTGTATCATCGTGAAATGTATAATAAGAGGATGGCCCAGCAGAATATTGGAAGATTCTTCTGTTTTGTTCTTGCTAAATGGTCCAGCAGAATATTCCAATAAATTTCTCCCACAGTAGCTTCTTTTCCTTTGTGAACGGGTGGCCCCCAAGGGTGAGAGCGGGGTAGAGTTGTGGGTCTTCCGGGAGATCTGTGTACCGATTAAATGTTGAAGGGAGAAAGTTCCAAAAGTTCCTTGCAAAAGGCAGGAAAGTAAGATATGACTCATGGCATAAAGCATACCACTATGGAGACAATGCCATGTAGGACAATTTTTTTAGTGCTTGTCATGTGTATTGATAGCCTTGTGTGCTAGTTCGCAGAGGAAAAACTTTATCTTCTTTGGGTATTGCCCCTTACAAATCAGATCATATAGTGGCTGTGAAGAAACTGTACTACAGGGGGAGAGCTCATGCAAGAGGGAGTTTGTGGAGAAATGACTATTTGGTTCTAGCTTCCAAATTCTTTTATCCGTTCTTTGTGAAGACAAGACATTTGGAAGATAGAAGAGCGCTTAATTCCTCAATCTCTGCATCTTTCTGATTTCTTCTCAAATTCAAATTCCAAAAGCCAAGCTCAGAATTCACATGTTTCTTACAGCCCCATCCTTTTTGAGAGAGCTTAAAGAGTAGAGGAAATTTCTATCAAGAGAGTCATCCTCAAGCCAATTGTCCTTCTAGAAGGAAATGTCTTCTCCATTCCCCAATTTGTAATAAATTCTTCCAAGAATCAGTGAGCAATGCTTCAGAATAGCTTTCCAAGGACCTTTTGCTGTTACGAGAGAAGTGCTGCCCAGTTTAGTATTGATGGGGGTGGTTCCATATTTTTCATCAATAACTTTCTCCATAGAGCTGTGCTTTCCTATTGATATTGCCAAATCCATTTGACTAAGAGGGCTTTGTTTTTATCTTTGAGGCTATGTAGACCGAGCTCTCTTTTTTCAATGGGAAAAAGAAGAGTTCCCATTTGACAAGTGGTAAGCCATTCCTATCAACATTACCTTTCCCACAAAAGTTCCGGATCAATCTTTCATTGATGATAGTCCCTTGGCCGGCATTTGAAAAATGGACATATAGTACGTCAACTGGAGTACCTTCTTGTAATTTTTGGAATACATTTTTGTATGCGCATTTGGCTTGGTCTTTTCAATTGCAACTCCTAGTCATTTTTATGAAACATTATTGTTTCTCTTTATATATATGTCTGTATCTGTGTGTTTCTATATATATGTTTGTATCTGTGTGTTTCTATATATATATCTAAAATATTTATTTATATATTATGTTTTGTTTCGTCTGCTTCTTTTTTTTTTTTTTTTTTTTTTGAAGTAAATGGAAAAAAGCATGTAACGATTCTTTACATTTTCTGCATTTGAATAAGAGAGAGGAAGAACTACTTTCTATTTGGTGGAAAGAAATTGCTGAATGTAGTGAAGGGCCAAAAGAAAGAGCTGGTACTGGTCTGAGGCTCGATAAACAAAGATATGAATCTGCTTCGGAGGTTGCTAAATTAATCAAATTGTATGACATTGAAGAAGAGCGAGTTGGTGTTCATGTCAAAGGAGGACTCTATGAGGTCAATTTGATGCAATCTATATTTAAGAATTTCCTCCGTGTTTTATACTAGCACGATCTTGTCTGGCACTATCCTTGTCTTCATTCTTCCCAATTGTTGCTAATTGTATAGATTTAGGTGATAAGAAAATATAGTTTCTGTGACATGAAAAGTATTTCTTGTTTTCTGAAGGTGTGTTTTCTCGTGGAATGTGTCATTCTGAATTTTTTTTAATATCTAAGGTGGGAAGAATTAAAATGAACCTGATTTCCCAGATGTTAGTTATGTTATTTATTTTTGTTAATGGGCTCATCAATAGGGAAGAATTAAAAGGAACCTGATTTCCCAAATGTCATCGATTCATTAACTATGGAGATATTAGTATTACCAATTAATGTTGTCTTCTAGATAGTTTTATAAAAGTTGAAGTTAAAGTTAAAGGATTTGTAAAGTTTCTTAGATATCATATACAAAGTTTTAAATATCTTTTGAAATTGTTACTTTTTTTTTCTGTTTAATTTACAAATGCTTGCAACTGAAGTGATATTATATATGCAGGTAGATTTAGTGAAGAGACATTGTTTTCCTGTTTATTGGAATGCAGAAAATCGTCGAGTAATGAGAGGCCATTGGTTTGCTTGTAAAGGAGGACTTGATTGGCTTCCACTTCGGGAGGATGTTGCCGAACAGTTAGAAATTGCTTATTGTAGTCGGGTTAGTTGTTTGTTCTCTTATTTTTATACTATCTCTTTGAAAGTTTTGTACGCTAAGCATCTCCAAGTTTTCATGATGAAGAAAATGGTTTCGTGTGAAATGGTTTCATTTTTTGCTGTGTAGTATCTAGTTTATCTCCATTTCTAAACTTGAATTTTTTTTAGATATCTTAATGATTAGCAAATCATGGATAAAGGTGATTTTGATCTAGGTGTGGCGCCGGAGAACATTTCAGCCATCCGGACTTTTTGCATCCTGAGTTGATTTACAAGGATCTACCCCAGTATGTAAATTATTTGGAGCATGAAGACTTATATAGTTGTTTCATCATAACTTGAAATTTAGGAACGTTATTTATCTTGGAATTTCCAATGTAGGGACTTCATGCTCTTTTCACTGGGGAGGATGATACTTGGGAGGCTTGGCTGAATGTTGATGCTTCTGGTTTTTCTAGCGTTATTAGTTTGGGTGGCAATGGAATTAAGTTAAGGCGTGGCTATTCCCTGTCTAACGCTCCTAAACCTACTCAAGTTTGTACTTCTTTCTTTCTAGTAGTCTATGAGTATAATTTTACCATTGCCTTTACATCCCCCCCCCACTCCCATTCAAAATCCTACTGGATATGTGATGTGTGTGTGTGTGTGTGTGGGTGGGGGGGGGGGGGGGGTG